GTCATCCTCGTGCTCTAAATACCCTTCTAAAATGACTTGGGGTTTTCCTTAATCTCCTTTGCCAAAGATGTTTCATGGCCTCTATTTGCCATCCTAATTTCTCTTTTTTAAGCATCCCCTACATTCTCTATACTTTTGAAGGGCCTCCCATGTTTGTAACACAATGTATTGAACATATGCTTTCTTCTTTTTCTTTGTCCACCTCCTGATATCTCTTGACATCCAGTGTTCCCTTGACTTGTTGCCCTTGCTCTTCACTCTTAGGGGAGCATATTACCCTGAATTCTCACTGTACTACATTTAAACAACTCCCACTTTCCAAATGTAGACTTAACCTTCAAGTAGTTGCTCTCAGTTTACATTTGCTAGATCCTTTCTAATGATATTGTGTTCCTGAAATGAAAGGCACATCTGGCATTGCTACATTTCTATGTGGAGAGGTGGTAATGTCACTGACTAGCAATCAGAGCCACAGCCTAATGTTTTGGGGATGTGGAGTTGAATCTCACCATGGCAGGTCATGAAATCCGAACTCAATAAAATCTGTCAGACAGACCTATCTGGTTCACTAATGTCCTTTACGGAAAAGAATCTGTTGTCCTTAGCTGGTCTTGCCCACATATTACTTCTTTTTATTCATTCACAGGATGTGAGTTTCACTGGCTAGGCCAGCATTTATTGCCCATCAGGGAGTTAAGAGTCAACTATAATGCTGTGCGTCTGGAGTCACATGTAGGCCAGACCAGACAAGGATGGTAGTTTCCTTTCCTAAAGGCTATTAATGAACCAGATATGTTTTTCCGACAATCGTCAATGGATTTGTGGTCATTGTTAGGCCCTTTAATTCCAGATTCTTTATTGAATTTAAATTTCACTCCAGGCTCCCAGGAATGGATTTGCTCCTTAACTGGCCTCTAGCAAGCCACTCAGTTGGAATAAAATGTTACAACACCTAAAGAAAGCAATGAAACTGGACAGACCATCTAGCATCAACCTAGACACCAGAATTGCCAACAGCAAACTTAGCCCTGTTGAATTTACAAAATCCTCCTTATTAGCATCTAGGGGCTTGAGCCAAATTGGGAAAGTTGTCTCACCAACTGGTGACGCAGTAGTCTGAACTAATCATACTTACAAACCAATAATATACACAGAGGGTCCCAAACAACACCATCACTATCCCTGGATATTTCCTATCACATGGGCAAGTTGGGCCTAGAGGAGATTGCGATCAACTGGTACACAGTCTTGCAGGATGTGGCCTGGGAGTCCTCAACATTGACTTTGCATTCGGGATGTTCTCTGGCATCAGGCCAAACATGGGCAAAGAAACCTTTTGGTGATTTATCAGTACTCCTCAAACTGAACACAAATTGGAGTAAGCAGTGAGGTGGCAAGTGTGTAGAATGTACTCAAGGTGGAGAACTTTAATGTTTCGTATTCAAGGGTGATTTGGCAGCAAGACTATGGACTGAGCCAGTCGAGTCCTAAAGGATATTCTTGCTAGACTGGGTCTGCGGCAGGTGGTGAATGAATCAGCAAGAATCAAATCAGAGATCTACAGCAGTGAAAAAGACCTTCGCCTATTGCATCCACACTGGTCAAAAGCTATACTTAATTGACCTTGTTCTCACCAATCTGCCAGCTACAATGCTTCTGGACATGTCAGTATCGGTGGAAGCATTGCAAAGTCTTTTTGGAGACTAAGACGATACCCTTCATCCTATTTTGATAAACTTCAGACAGTTATAGAAATTCAAACTACGTATCGGTAAGGTGCTGTGAGCCAAGAGTAGAAGCAGAATCATACTTAATCACAACCTGTAACCATATGGCCAGGCATATATCCCTGGCCATGTAGATGTAGAAGTGGACCATTCAGTCCATTGAGTCTGCTCTGCCATTCAATGAGATCATGGCTGGTCTGATAATCCTCAGCTCCATTTTTCTACCTTTTCCCATAACCCTTGATGCCCTTATTGATTAAAAAAAGTCTGTCTCTGCCCAGAATATACTTAACAGCCCAGCCTTTACAGCCCTCTGCAGTCAGGAATTCCACAGATTCTACTACCTCCGAGAGGCTAAATTCTCCTCATTTCTAAAGTTTTGGCAAAGATCTGTAGCTCAGGTTGTGGGTGAGGTTGTTGACTTGCTTGCCGAGCTGGCTTGTTCTCATTCAGACATTCGTTACCATGCTAGGTGACATCATCAGTGGAGCCTCCGATGAAGTGATGTTATTCTACTCTGCTTGGATTTATACTGGTTGGTCCGTTACGGTGAGTAGTGTCATTTCCGGTTTTGACCTGTATGGGTTTGTATATGGGGTCCAATTCTACGTGGTTGTTGATTGCATTACGGGTGGAGAACCATGCCTCAAGGAATTCCCATGTGTGTCAATGTTGCGTGTCAACGCAACAAATTAGAAGAGACCCACCACCTCATCAACAGTGTATTCACAGGGATTAAATTCATAAGGGAAGAAGAAAAGAACAATCAACTTCCGTTTCTGGATGTTAAAGTTGAGCGTATGACCAACGGGCAGTTCCAAATGTCAGAATACAGAAAAGCCACCCATACTGACCAAATCCTCAACTTCCACAGCAACCACCCCAACATCCACAAACAAAGCTGCATTAGGACCCTATTTAAATGGGCCAGGACACACTGCAACACTCGAACTACGCAGGAAAGAGGAAGAGCACCTACACAAAATCCTTGCTTTAAACTGATATCCCCACAACTTCATCCGCAGATGCCTACTAAACAGGCAACAATAGGAGGACATCATATGCCCCAACACACTGCCACACTGCCCTACATCAAGAATATCGGAACTGACAACAAAACTCCTAAGACCAATAGGAATCATGGTGGCCCACAAGCCCAAAGCCACTCTATGACATACACTTACAAGGATTAAAGACCCCATTCCCACAACATGCAGAACCAACGTGGTTTACAAAATACCATGCAATGACTGCCACAAACATTACATCGGACAGACAGGAAGGAAACTAGCCATCAGAATACATGAACATCAGCTAGCAGCAAAAAGCATGACGAACTCTCCTTAATATCGGTACACTCAGACATTGAAGGCCATCAGTTTAACTGGGACAAGATAACCATAGTAGCCCAAGTCAAACATAGACACACACGGGAATTCCTAGAGGCATGGCTCTCCACCCGTAATGCAATCAACAACCATACAGAATTGGACCCCATGTTCAAACCCATACAGATCAAAACCAGAAATGACACTACTCGCCATAACGGACTGGACAGTATAAATTCTAAGTGGATTAGAATAACATCGCTTCATTGGAGGCTCCACTGATGATGTCACCTAGCATGGTGACAAAACATCTGAACGAGAACAAGCCAGCTTGGCAAGCAAGTCAACAACCTCTCCTCATTTCTGTCTTCAATGGGTGAGATGATGCCTTAAATTTTGGGATTATGTGATCTGGTCCTAGAGTCTTCCACAAGGGGAAACAACCTTCCTGCATTAGAGATAGTAGGAAATGCCGATGCTGCAGAATCTGAGATAACAAAGTGTAGAGCTGGATGAACACAGCAGACCAAGCAGCTTTCCTGCTCCTCTGATGCTGCTTGGCCTGCTGCGTTCATCCAGCTCTACACCTTGTTATCTCAACCTTTCTGCATTACCTTGTCTAGTCTCCCAAGAATCTTGTATATTTCAATGTGCCTACAGCGCGTGGACTGCAGCAGATCAAGGAGGCAGCTTATCAGAACCTTCTCAACTATAACTGGGGACAGATAATAAAGGGTGGCCCAGCCAGCAATGCCCAGGTCCCATGACTGAATATTTTAAAAAATGAAGTTGTCTTTCATTCTCCTAAATTCCAATCAGTACATGCCCCGATCTAGAGACACAGAAGTCTACAGCTCATAAAAAGGTCCTTTGGCCCATTGAGTCTGCACTGTTCCAAAACAACTACCTACCTATTCTAATTCCATTTTCCAGCACTTGCCCATTGCCTTGTACGCATTGGCATCACAAGTTCACATCTAAATAGTTTTTAAATGTCAACAGGGTTTCTGCTTCTACCATTTTTTACAGGCAGTAAGTTCCAGATTTCCACCCTCTGGGTGATTTTTTTTTCACATCTCCTCTAAATCTCCTGCTGCTTACCTTAAACCTATGTCCCCTGATCATTGATCCCTCCACCAAGTGAAAAAGTTTCTTCCTATCTGTCCTGTCTATGCCCCTCAATTTTATGTTTCTCAATCACATTCCCCCTTAATCTCCTCTGCTCCAAGAGGAACAACCACAGTCTGTCTCTCTTCATAACTGAAACTCTCCAGCCCAGGCATCATCCTGGTAAATCTCCTCTGCACCCCTCCAGTGCACTCACATCCCTGCTTTAATGTGGATTCCAGAACTGCACACAATACTGCAGTTGTGGCCTAACCAAATTTTTGTACAGTTTTAACATCACCTTCCTGCTCTTAAACACAGCTAATGAAGGCAAATATTCCATATGCCATCTTAACCACTTTGCCTACCCGTCCCGTTACCTTAACAGACCAGTGGACGTACACACCAAGGTCCCTCTGATCCTCAATGCTTCCCAGGGCTCTACAGTTCATCGTGTAATTCCTTGTCTTGTTTGTCCTAACCAAGTGCATCACCCCACACTTGCTTATATATACTGCAGTCATCAAGAACTTCAACACTAATCCCTGTGGAACTCCAATCGACACAGGCTTCCAATCACAAAACCACCCCTCGACTGTCACCCTCTAGCTACCTGGCACTCTGCCAATTGCAGATCCAATTTGCCAAATTTCCTCGGATCCCAGAAAAAATTTTTTCTTCTGAAAAAGGGTCTAGGCCCGAAACGTCAGCTTTCCTGCTCCTCTGATGCTGCTTGGCCTGCTGTGTTCATCCAGCCCTGCACCTTGCTCCCTGGTGTCAGCAGACGCAGCCACCGGGAAATCAAATGGGAAGGTGGCGTGTGCGCAGTACCGGAAATGACGGCTGGTGCCGAGTTTCCCGGATGCGGGTAGTGGCTGGGGAATGGGAAGAAGGAGGAACTTTGAGCCAGCAACGTGACAGGGCCGCGGCGAGTGATGAACGGTTCCACCTTTACATGCTGGTACGGCATATTTCAAATCTCATCGGACGACCAGGTAGAAGCCGGGGGTGTTCCCCCGTGATATTTACCTTTCCGGAATTCACTGGGCTGAAACAAAGTGTGTTTGGAGGCGGGCGAATAAGTAAAATGGGCAACGGTTTACCGGAACGTGTACCTTGAAGCCCGCGCGGGGGCGGTGGGACGTTCCGCTCCGGGAGGGCGAGCCTGATTGGGCGGGGCCTCGGGCTTCTCTCCTCCTATTGGTCAATCAGTGTATCAATCATCCAGCTGCTGCACAGCCCAGAGGCAGGGGCGGTGCGTGAGCTGTGTGACCACCAAATGGTTCAATGTTGCAAGCAATTGCCCTGCACTCTTTTTCTCTTTATTAAGAAGCCGTCACATTTTTTTTAAAAGTTAAACATAAGCAAACTACTTTTACACATTGTTCTGAAGAGAAGGTGTCTCAGTGCCAGGGACCCAGGTTCGATCCTATCCTATCCTCAGGCGACTGTGTGGAGTTTGTATATTTTCCCCGTGTCTGTGTGGGTTACTTCCGGGTGTTCGGGTTTCCTCCCACAGCCCAAAGATGTGCAGGCTACGTGGTTGGCCATGCTAAATTGCCCGTAGCGTTCAGGTATGTGCAGATTGGCGGTGGGGGGTGGGTTATGGGTTTGGGTGGGATGCTCTGAGTGTCAGTGTGGACTTGTTGGGCCGAAGGGCCTGTTTCTTCACTGTAGGGATTCTATGATTCTAAGTCATATGCGACTCAACGTTTCTAGTATCTCCGGAGCTTCCTTTTTTTTCTTAAAGCCCCTCCAGTCTTCACCAGCCTCACTCAATAACTTGAACACACCATGTTATCATCAATTTGTCCACGCACGCTTAATTGAATCCAAGAATTACAACTTAAAAGCAGATGCTGGGGATCTGAAATGAAAACATAAAATGCCTCAGAAACTCGGGCAATCTCCGCAGAGACAAGCAGAGTAAGTGAGACAACAAGGTGCAGGGCTGGATGAACACAGCAGGCCAAGCAGCATCATAGGAGCAGAGAGGCTGACGTTTCGGGCCTAGACCCTTCATCAGAAAAGGGGGAGGGGAAGGGGGTTTTGAAATAAATAGGGAGAGAGTGGGAGGCGGATAGAAGAGGGATAGAGGAGAGGATAGGTGGAGAGGAAACAAACAGGTCGAAGAGGCGGGGATGGGGCCAGGAAAGGTGAGTGTAGGTAGGGAGTTAGGAAGGGGATAGGTCAGTCCAGGGAGGACGGACAGGTCAAGGGGGCGGGATGAGGTTGGTCGGTAGGAGATGGAGGTGCGGCTTGAGGTGGGAGGAGGGGATAGGTGGGAGGAAGAACAGGTTAGGGAGGCAGGGACGAGCTGGACTGGTTTTGGGATGCGGTAGGGGGAGGGGAGATTTTGAAACTTGTGAAATCCACATTGATACCATTGGGCTGCAGGGTTCCCAAGCGGAATATGAGTTGCTGTTCCTGCAACCTTCGGGTGGCATCGTTGTGGCACTGCAGGAGGCCCAGGATGGACATGTCGTCTGAGGAATGGGAGGGGGAGTTGAAATGGTTCGCGACTGGGAGGTGCAGTTGTTTGTTGCGAACCGAGCGTAAGTGTTCTGCAAAGCGGTCCCCGAGTCTCCGCTTGGTTTCCCCGATGTAGAGGAAGCCACACCGGGTACAGCGGATGCAGTATACCACATTGGCAGATGTGCAGGTGAACATCTCCTTGATGTGGAAAGTCTTCTTGGGGCCTGGGATGGGGGTGAGGGAGGAGGTATGGTTGCAGGGAAAAGTGCCGGGTGTGGTGGAGCTGGAGGGGAGTGTGGAGCGGACAAGGGAGTCACGGAGAGAGTTGTCCCTCCGGAAAGCAGATAAAGGTGGGGAGGGAAAGATGTCTTTGGTGGTGGGGTCGGATTGCAGATGGCAGAAGTGTCGGAGGATGATGCGTTGGATCCGGAGGTTGGTGGGGTGGTACGTGAGGACGAGGGGGATTCTTTTTTGGTTTTTATTGCGTGGACGGGGTGTGAGGGATGAGGTGCGGGAGATGTGGGAGACACGGTTGAGGGCGTTCTCGACCACCGAGGAGGGGAAGTTACAGAGTAAGTATTTTGAGTCCAGTGTGACTGTTCCAGTTCTGAACTATTAGAATTAGAAATGTTAACTCTTTCTCTGTTCCTAGATGCTGCCAGACCTGCTCTGAGACTTTGTTTTATTTACTGTCTTAAGCTTGATTATCATCCTGCTTCAGAACATTGGCTTTTCTGAAGAGGAGCCATTTTTCTACTGAGGTGCTAAGTCTCTCACCACAGATACTCATTTACTGAGACAACAGTGTGGAGCTGGAGGATCACAGCAGGTGAAGCAGCATCAGAGGAGCAGGAAAGTTGATGTTTCAGGTTGAATTTCCAGCATGTACTGTTAATTTTCTTCTACAAGAGCTAGAAGTATGTTCCTCAATGGATTACTAAACTTTGTTGACCTGATCTCCCCTTTTCCTGCCTGTTCCCTATAATACTTGACACCCCTCTAACATTTTAAAAATCTTGCATGTCAGCTTTGGATATATTCAGTCTTTGTGAGATAGACAGTTCCAAATGTGTACAATCCACTGAAAGTAGAAATTCCTCATAATTACTGTCTTAAACGTTAACTCCTTACTTCTGAAACTGCCCCTCAGGATTCCCCCATGATACGTGCTTTCAGCATCTATCCTGTCATGCCCTGTCAGAATCTCAAGAATTTCAATACAATCACCTCTCGTTCATATAACTTCAGAGCAAGAGTATGCCATTTAGCCCATCATGACTGATTCTCCATTCAGTAAGATCATGCCTAATCTGATTGTGGTCTCTGCTTCACTTTCTTGCCTGCATCCCATAATCCTTAACTCCCTTGTCTATAAAAAAAACTATCTAATTCAGGCTTGAATAAATATAAAGACTCTGCAGTTGTTCATTAGCTCTGGTAGTCATTTCTGATATATTTTTGTAGGGTAGAAATGACTACCAGACTCCTAAGCCCCCATAAGATCATGATTGCGTACAAACCTACATCAGCATTGTGCTAAATGTTATCAAAGACTACGGGGTCTTCAGACTTTGACAGTAAACAAGACCAGCGTGATATACAGAATACCATGCAGCGAGTGCAATAAACATTACCTTGGGTAAACAGGGAGGAAACTGAAAACCAGGATACACAAACACCAGCTGGCAGTAAAAAGACACGACCAATATTCACTTATCTCAATACACACAGACAAATGAGGGCCATTGGTTCAACTGAGCCAAAGTGACCATACTGGGATAGGTGAACACCAGACATGCAAGGGAATTTTTGGAAGCCTAGTTCTCAACACGGGATTCCATTAACAAACATGTAGAAACATGTATACAGACTGCTGGTAAAACAACAGAACCGGAAGCGACAAGACCATCACACCAGGGGATCATATAAATCTGGAAGGAAGCAGAACACCAACGCTTCAGTTAGAGGTTGCACTGATGATGTTGCCTAGAAGGGTAACGAAACATCTGCACACCACAGAACAAGTGGCTTGGCGAGCTAACTAACAACAGCATCCACAACCCAAGCTACAAATTTTCACTAAGACCTTAAAAATTTAAAGACTCTGCCTCACTACCTTTTGGGGAAGAGAATTCCACACTAATGACCCTTTGAAAAAGAAGTTTTGCGTCTTAAAAATGCTGCAACAAGAACATCTCTCATTCTGCTAAACTAATGATCATAGGCTTATCCTGTTCAATCTTTCTTTATAAGTCCTTCATCCTGTGAATGAGTTGAGATAACCTTCTCTGAACTGCTTTGAAAGCGCTTATGAAGTGAGGAGATCAGAGCTGAACACGGTACTCCAAACGTGATCTCACCAATGCTCTGTGCAAGTACAGTGAAGTACTTTTGTGTTTTATTCCATTTACCTTCCTAGTTACTGCTGCACCTGCATAATAATATTGTGATTCATGTACCAGGACACATGCCTCTCGACCACTGTCTGTCTCACTTTTAAATAGTATACTGCTTTTTCTAGTGAGTAAATTTCAATGAGTACAGGCCCAACCTGTTCAGTCTGTTCTCTTAAGAAAGCCTCTTCATTCCAAAAGCCAACCCAATGAATCTGCTCTGACTACCTTCAATACTAATACATCCCTTCTTAAAAAAAGTAGACCATAACTGTGGACAGTGCTATTTCAAATGCCATGTCACAATGTCCTGTGCAGTTTAATCAACATTTCCTTACTTCTGTACCCCCTCCTTCTTGCAACAATGGGCAACATTTGATTTGCTCTCCTGATTTATTGCTGTATCTGCTTGTTAATGTTTTGTATTTCAGAAGGTTACCCAGATCTCTCCCCACTGCAAAATTTTGTGGTCTCCATTTAAATAGTATTTTGGCTTGCTATTCTTCCTACTAAAGTGCAAACTTGATGTCCTTGCAAAAGTTTTTTGAAGATAAATGAAATGGAATCATATTTATGTTGTGAGTTGTTGATTCGGAATGCAACACCAGAAAGGGTAACTGAGCAGATTCAGGAATGACATTCAAAGATCAGTTGGAGCTGCAAATAGAAAAGAAATGCGGCGCTATGTGGAAAGAGCAGGACTGATTGGATGGCTCTTTCAAAATGTTAGTGCTGGTATAAATGACCTCATTTTATGGTTCTTCAAATAGTATTTTAAATCAATGTGCATGTAGGGGGTGCATTTGTCTTTGTCTTTTGCTGTCAGTTGGCCAGTAGTTCACAATGGGGGACAATCTGCATCCTGGAAACAAAAATAAATGTTATTAAGTACATGATTTTCAGCATTTGACATGTCAAAAACATTAATCAATTTAGAACTTCTGGAAAAGAGTCATATTGGACTTGAAGCATTCACTCTGTTTCTCTCCCCACAGATGCTGCCAAACCTGCTGGGTTTCTCCAACCATTTGTTTTTATTTTATATTTACAGCATCTGCAGTATTTTGCTTTCATTTTAACGTTTTGGGTTCTGTTCCTTGCCAGAGCCATAAAACCTGTTTCTTATG